TCCAAAGACAGCAGTCAGATCCTTAGTGCCTCTTTGGACCAGACAATCAGAATTCATGGCTTAAAATCTGGGAAAACCCTAAAGGAATTTCGCGGTCATTCCTCCTTCGTTAATGAAGCAACATTTACACAAGATGGACATTATATTATCAGTGCTTCCTCTGATGGCACTGTAAAGATCTGGAATATGAAGACAACAGAATGCTCAAATACCTTGAAGTCCTTGGGCAGCACTGCGGGGACAGACATTACTGTCAACAGTGTGATCCTGCTTCCTCAAAACCCAGAACACTTTGTGGTGTGCAACCGATCAAACACTGTGGTCATCATGAACATGCAAGGCCAGATTGTCAGAAGCTTCAGCTCTGGTAAGAGAGAAGGTGGTGACTTTGTTTGCTGTGCTCTCTCTCCTCGTGGAGAATGGATCTATTGTGTGGGGGAAGACTTTGTGCTCTACTGCTTTAACACAGTCACTGGCAAACTGGAGAGAACTTTGACAGTTCACGAGAAGGATGTGATTGGTATTGCACATCATCCTCATCAGAATTTGATTGTTACCTACAGTGAAGATGGACTTCTAAAGCTCTGGAAACCCTAATTCACATTTTGAAAATCTAGTTTGAAGCATGTACTTAAATGAAGACATACTCATGTGTTTGTTTTTTCAAATCAGCTTTCTAAGGAAAAAAATTATCCCATTTCCCCAAGGATAATTACAGTCTTAAAAAGTTTCTCTTTTAAAAATGTATTTTTAAGATTTTAGTTTTTCTGCTTATAAGTATGGTAGACATATTACTGACATTTCTAGAAAAAAGATGTTCTTTGATTATCTGAAATCCTGATTGCAGTTTACTTTCCATCAAAAAACTTGTAAATAACCCTGTATTCAGTGGCTTATTTTTAAAGATGTTAATACACTACACATTTCTGGATGCTTTGTAAATAAATGTTCACCCCCCCCAAAGAAAAAGATGAAAATTTGAGACACGAACCTTCAAGCTATATGCTTTGGTTTCTCTTGGAAGATTTGTAGGTACTGATGACCCAGTACTTGGAGAAGGTCTAGACTTCTGTTGCTTTTCGCTCATGGTTATAAGTCAAACTAATAATTTCTCATGCTTGGAATATTCGAACCAAGGAAATAAGGTTCCCTGTTGAGATTCTACATATTGCCTGTGTTTAAAGCATCATCTTAGACTTCTGTGTGAAGATGGTGTCCGGCAGTGGATAAAAAACTGGGACTTTCTGACCAGGCCCTGGCTGGCAGTGGACTTAGCTCTGGAGGTGGCAGTTAAAGATTTGGAGACTGGAGTTCACCTTGTGAAAGGTCATCACTTGCACTTGGAATGGTCTCAAATTGTGGGATTAATGGGAATAGCCTTTCAGTTACCTAGGATCGTTGTTGATATGAAGTCATGTTTAACTGTATTTACTAAATGTTAGTTGACAACTTGATGTTCCATGTTTCCCTTGTATGGCCTTATGTAATAGAACCATTGTTCAAATAAAGTTTGTAAATTTGCCTCATAGCATTTCATTGGTAACTTCATTTTGTTCTTTATAGGTGTTAAAGAATGACCATTGACTTTCTACTTGACATTCTTGTTGCTGGGCAGTTTATATTTATCCCCATATGACGTTATTGAAACTGGGCAGTTTGTATTTATCCCCATATGACATTATTGAAACGATCTCTTTGGTGTCAAGAAAGAATTTCTTACTGGGTTTGGAGGCCAGAGCAAACAATGTAATGAATATATACTTGCCAGATCAACTAAAAGGGTGACAAAGAACAAGGATACTGTGATTTAATGTATACTCAAAGAATAAAATGTCTCCCAATTACTGTGCCCAGCACTTTCAGAGGAATGCATTCTAATCTTTGCTTCATGAATTCCACTTTTTAATGTTCTATATTTTTACTTGTAAGCAGTAAACTTGATTGTAACATCCTTGTAATTACTAAAGAATGTAAAATAAAAGTCCAAACATCTTCTCCTTGACATACTTCCTCATCAGTGTAGACAGGAAGCAAAAGAATTACATTATTTCTGAAGCTGGAATCACAAGAATGAGCCATGGGTCTGAATTGGTGTTCACACGAAGGACCTGGCCACACCCTCAGAAATCACTGTGGATGTTTCATACATACACAGATGTTACTACTGAAATCTCCTTAGAAGTCAGGGCATAAAAGTCTCTTTAAAAGCACACCGATTTTGCTTGTGGATCCAAAAAACAGAACTTAGGATTATAAAAAAAAATGAAACCTTTCCAAATGTTTAGGGGGAAAAATGAACACTACAGGAAGATACCTAGAGTTCCCCAGTCTGAGAAGCAGTGACTGTATTTAAAAAAAAATTAGTAATGACAATATAGTTTAAAAAGTTTTAGATTATGAAATCTCAACAGCCTCTGGAGTATAGTCACTAATAGTACTTTAGTCTGATAAGCTGTTTCTCCTGCTTTATAAATCTATGTTAGTTGTTTAAATGGCTTGAAGTATTTCAGAAGGACACTATGACAAAAATTGGCTGATAGCTATTCCTAG